CCTCCTCGTACCTGTCCACATAGCTGGAGTCATGATTCCCAGTGCCTGGATGAAGGGCTCTCCCCACAGCTCCAGATGACTGATTTCTTGGGTTCCAGAAGGTACAAGTCCTATGAGAAAGGTAGGACAGGTGAACAACCTACACTAGAAAAACAGAGACCCAACCATGACAGTCCTTAGAAGAGAAAACCAATGGAAAGCTCCTCAAAGGAGTGTGACCGAGAAAAACCATGAAATAGTGACCACATCAGTGGCACCATTCTACCGCAGGCAGAACAACTGCATATCAGTGGGGGGAAAAGGGCAGTGCCTGGGTTGTGTTCTGTTGCTGTGATAGAAAAAGTGACCAAAGCAATTTATGGAAGAGTTTGTTTGAGTTTACGATTCCAGGGAAATTACAGTCCGCCAAGGGGGAAGCATTGTGGCAGGAGGTGGCTGGAGGAGCAGGAGCTAAGCTCCCACACCTTCAAGCTGGCACAGGAGACAAGAGAGTGACTGGAAATCCAGCAAGGTTTAAGAAGTCTCTGAGCCTGCCCCAGTGACATGCTTCCTCCAGCAGAGCCACACCTTCTAAGACCTCCCAAAACAGTGCCACCAACTGGGGACAAAATGTCCAAATACTTGGAGCCTACTGCTATTTTCATTCAAACCATTACATTGGGTCACAGAAGTGCCATGTATTCACAGGGACACCAGATTGTGGAGAGGCAGCAAAGTCAACTCTCTAAGGGTTACTAGTTAAAACTGCCCTGACCCTAAGCTGCTTCCCACCTGTCTTTGCTGTACTTAAGAGGGAAGATGGTAGTGTTTCCAGTCCAGGAACACCATGTTTATTTTCTATTCCAGGACGCCAGGGAAATAAATAATCAGTGTCCATGGGCTAAATGTGGGAAAGATACACCCACCTCTAGGAAAAGAGAAGCCAAGCCTACCCCCATGTTCTCCCACACAGTAGGCGGCCCTTACCCACAGAGGCCATGAGCGAGAAGTTCTCCAGCATCACACTGCGGTACAGCAGTCTCTGAGAGGCATCCAGCAGTGTCCATTCCTCCTTTGAGAAGTAGACAGCCACGTCCTTAAAGGTCACAGGGCCCTGTCACAATGGGGAGAGCTGAGGTCACAACAAACCCCTTCCCTGGGTTTCACAGAGTCACTTATGCTTAGCTTTCCACCATGAGGATCCAAGGCCCTGGAGCCACTGCAACAGTGTCTCCTCAAGGTCCCCTGATCGCTGTGTTCAGCACTCAACAACAGAAGGTGGATGGACAGATGGGAGACCATCCAAGCTGGACATGTGACTGGAAAGCCCCTCCCTGTCCTTACAGATAATTCACATGTAGTCCTCTGATACAACCAGATGTGCGCCTCTTTACGCCCCTGGACCAGGGGCATCCATTTGAATATGAATGTGATGTAAAAAACATCTGCATTTAATCATATATTAGTAAGACTGACTTCCTGAGTTTTCATTTAAATGTTCCAGCTTTATTCACAATTTTTAAAAATAAATTATTTCAGGATTAACATACAATGCTTTTCTGCCTTTCTTAGTAACAAGACAATGTATGACCTAAATTATTGAACATCTCTCTTGCAGTTTTTTGTACAAATGCACTGAGCCATCATTCTAATCATCTTTCCACTGAGCCATCTCTCCAGCCCCTGTTGGTACTGTTAGGACAAACTGGGCCGCAAGATGAAATTACTACTGACCACCAACATGGCACTCACAACCGGGTGGGCAGCATTCTGGGGAACAGAAAATAGGCCATCCTGGTTTCTCAACAACCACCTGACCTTTACTTTAACATTGCACCCTGATCATAACAGCAATTTTCCATCGTACTCAACCGAAAAACTCAAAAACACCTAACTGAACCCCTACATACACCAAGGCATCTGCTACTGACTCACCTTCCTGCCAGAGTCTCACCTCCCCTACCCACAAACGAAAAATCCCATAAAACCCAGCCTACTCTGACAGAAACCGCTGCTCCCTTGCTCTGGTGGGAGCAGTCCAGCAGCTCTTCCATCCCAATAGATTTCCTTTTTTCTCGCCTCAGAGTGGTCTCCAATGGTCCTGGTCTTGTCACAGACCGAACAGTTACCACCATGGCTAGCTCAACCATACATTTGAAAAAATATAAATAAAAAGCCCACATACAATTGAAAGAAAAACCTGACACCAGACAAACCTCGGATTTAAGACACTACCACATGCCCACCATGCGCGCCTGAGAGTCAGGGCATCACATCCCAGCACAAACATGTCAATGGGAAGTTGTCCGTGGGTGACTCCTCGTCCGGAGCTGCAGCATTCCGAACCCAACCCGCACTGCGCTCCAGGACTCCCGAGGGTCCTGGACCATGTGGCACTCACCTGACTAGGGACTCCCGGTTTATTCGCTGCCATCGCGGATCCGACTCGGTGCCACAGGACTAAGCCGTGCTCCTCTCTCCTTTCCTCCCTCGTCCAACTGGACACAAATCCAGACAGAAACTCTGATGTGAATCCGTGCAGGGAAATGCCAGAGATCTGGCCCTCCCTAATGTGGAAAAGAAACCCCTGTTTTCATTGGCTGAGCCTTCCCGCAGACTACGCGCAGTCACTTCTGGGTAATGTAGTTCCTATAGCGTCAATCATGCGGGAAGTGGACATGGCTGTACAGGTGAGAGGGAGGCTCCGCTGTAGAGATGGAGATGAAGGCTCAGCAGTAGAGACGGAGACGGGAACTCAGCTGGAGAGACTGAGATAGAGACTCAGGCTCCACAGAGGTGAAAACCTCTGAGATTGTGGTGGTTCCAGATGTGCAGTCTTTCCTTCTCCTTAAGCGTATCTTCAGGGCTCCAGTAAGGAGGTTTCCTTGGGCGAAATCATGATTACCCTGGGCCCGGGGACACTCAGTATAAAAGTCAACGGTTGTGACACACTATCTGGTGTGTAAAAATGAGAAAAGAGTCTGAATTCTAGAGAAAGGTGGTGATTCCAGTATAAACTTTCCTCCTCCTCCATTCCTGCCTTTTCTCATGAACTCAGCTGGTACCTGGTCCTGCAGGGCAACAAGCCTCAGATCAGAAAGCCAGCATCCCTGCTTCCCCTGCATCCCCACCTCTTCCTTGTACTCGCTGGTCTACTACTCTTGGTTGACCACCAGAACTCTATCTAAGTCACTGGTGCTGAAAATGCCACACATAACTGCAAGGTATAAAGACGATTCCTCCCTGTGGGCTGATTTTTCTTTTTAGAATTTCCTTTTTATTATTTTTTTTTTTCCTTTTTTGTCTTTTTGAAGCAGAGTCTTCTTGTAGCCCCAGCTGTCCTAGAACTCACTATGTAGACTAGGCTGGCCTTGAACTCACAGAGATCCACTTGCCTCTGCCTCCCGAGTGCTGGGAATACAGGCCTGTGCCACCATGCCTGGCTTAAAATTTCCTTTTTATTTTTGTTTTCGTATATGTATCTGTGTAAGTATGTGCCAAATGCATTTCAATGCCTACAGAGGCCAGAAGAGTTGTTCAGATCTGCCTGATGTGAGTGGTGGGAACCAAACTGGAATAGTTGCAAGTGCTCTAACTTCTGAGCCATGTCTTGAGCCCCCAGGATAAATTCCATCGTGCTGGAAGGTACTATGCATACTACTGGGGGTGGGGAATAAGCATCAGTGGCTGTACCAGCTGATAACTCTACCATCTATCCAGGTGCTTTGATGAAAGTGTTTCTCATGTACAACAGTTTTCTGATATTTTTCTTAAAGATTCAGGTTACTTTTTTAAAAAGATATTTTATTTATTATTTTATTTTATGTGTATGAGTGTTATGCTTGCATTTAGGTAAGTGCACTTGTGTCGTGCAATGCCTGTGGAGGACAGAAGAGGGTGTCGGATCCCCCTGGAACTGGAGTTACGGACAGTTGTTAGCTGCCATGTGGGTGCTGGGATTTGAACCTGGGTCTTCTGTAAGAACAGTGCTCTTAACCGCTGAGCCATCTCTCCAGTACCAGATTCAGGTTGCTTTTATATTTGTGTGTGTGTGTGTGTGTGTGTGTGTGTGTGTGTGTGTATCAATGGACCTGGCCCCATGCAGTGTCTTCTTCAGCATCATGGAATACATGCCCTGAACCATACATGAGCCTACATAAACCTCAACTCCTACGTACTGTGTGTGTTGAGTATTTCATCACAGGAACAAGAAAAGTAGGTGACACAGCCCTCATAGCTAACGACTTTCCTTTAGAATTGATTCTGGTATCTCCCAAGCATGCTGATAAGTTGTACTTTCATTTGCTTTTAATTTGAAGAGCATTTAATTTTTCCCCATTTCTTCAATGACCGACTAGTCACTTAAGAATGTACAGTTGGGTTGGAGAGATGGTTCCTCAGTTAAGAGTACCTGCTGTTCTTGAAGAAGACTCAGCACCCACTACATGGCTCACAGCTCTGTAATTACAGTTCCAGGGGATTCTGAGACCTCTTCTGGCCTCTGAGGGCCCCAGGAACACACACAGTGCACATATGTACATGTAAGCAAAAGACTTATAGACATAAAAAATAACTAGATCTTTAAAAAGATGTATTGCTTAATCTTCATTTGCTTGTATATTTTATGTTGTTTCTCTTGCTATTGATTGCTAATTTTATGCAGTTTTATGATCTGATTAGATACAAGATATCATTTTGATTCATTTGTATGTGTTAAGACATTCTTCATGACTATTGTATAAGACTGTCCTCCACCAAGGAGACCATGGACAACTTCTTCCGAAGCTTGGCTGCACCCACTTACCTATGATTATCACAGCTAAGCTTGTTGACTGTCACCTTCTGAAAGGAAGGAGGGGCAGGGAGAGTCAACCACACCTTCCAACCAACCAGTCATCCCTAGTTGCATGAGGGAGAGGAGCTAAGTGTATATAAATTGAGGAACCAGAGGGGAGGATCTTTTGCTATTTAGTGCTGCTCTGGGAAAGTCACAATCCATGCCTTAGGAGTTAGGCCTTAGGAGGGGAGCAGTACATTCCTGTAAGTAAAGCCTCATCCATTGCTCTGTAAAAAAGCCCAGTAAACTCACTGGTTTCCCAGAGTACAGTTTGGTGAAAGTGGACCTTAGTTTGTCATAGAGAACAAGGGAAGGGGAGGAAGGCAAATATCGTTTATACCTCCTAGCAGGAATTTTAGCTAAAATGGACTACAGTGTGATATTTATTTATATTTTTGAGTCATGGTCTCCTTATTAAGACCTGACTGGTATATTATATAGAGTAAGATGACTTAAACTCATAGAGATTTGTGGGCCTCTCTCTGTCTCTCAAGTGCTGGGATTAAAGGCATGCATCACAATACCTTGCTTCCATGTCAGTTTCTTGAATTTGCTTTTCAAGAAACAAATTTCCAAAAAAAAATGGCATTAAATTGCTTACTACTAATGAATAACCTATTCTTTTTTTCTTTCATCCTTTAATTATACTAGGAACTAAACTTGTGGTCTTGTACATGCAAGAAGAAGCACTCTACCTCTGAGCTACATCTCCAGACTCTTTACTTTTTGATTGTCTTGCTAAATTGCCCAAGCTGGCCATGAATTTGCAATCCTCCTGCCTCAGCCTCCAGAGAGCCTCAGATTGCTGGGCCTGTGTAGGCCCAGCTGCACCATTGGTTGTGTTTTGTCAATCTTTCTAGAGGATTATCAATTTCCAGTGTCTTCAAGACGGGTCAGTATTTAAGAGTACTTGCTGCTCATGCAGAGGAACAGAGTTTGTGTCCCAGTAACCAGATATTGGCTCATAACCTTCTATAACTCTAGTTCAAGGTGATCCAACACACTCATGGGGCACCAGACACATGGTATACGTACCCAGAAATATTAAGAAACTTCAAGATAATAGGAAACTATTTGTTTTACAAAATTAGCATAAAATTTAAAGCAGCATTCCCCTTAACAAAACATGTAGGAAACAACCAGACACCTTTTTTTTTTAAGGTGAAAGACAAATAGAGGAGTGAAATGCAAATTAAAACTAAGTTAATATGCAACTACATACCTATTAGCAAGGCTAAAATGAATGGCTTAGGAATTACTGAGTTTCAGAGAGATTGTAAAGAACTGATAATCTGCTGTATTCCTGGAGGAAATAGGAAACACATAACCATTTAGAACAGAATTTGGTAACTTTTAAAAACATTCAGACTTCAACATGAGAGCAGGACTTTCATGAGCTGGTCCTATCAAAACTAGTGAAACTTAGAATGTAACAAAAAAAATCTTTATGTGGTCATAAAAAGTATATAGCAAATAAAAAAGGGAGAAAAAAGAAAAGAAAAATAAAGGAGCTGGAGAGATGGCTCAGCAGTTAAGAACACTGACTTCTTGCAGAAGACCTGGGTTTGAATCCCAACACCCACATGGCAGTTAACAACTGTGCAAAACTCCAGTCCCAGGGATCCAACAGCCTCTTCTGACCTCCTCGGTCATTGAACGACATGGGTGCACTGATCTACATGCAGGCAATACATGCATACACATAAAATAAAAATAATTTAAAAAAAACTGGGGCTGGAGAGATGGCTCAGTGGTTAAGAACACTGACTGTTCTTGCAGAAGACCTGGGTTCAAATCCTAGCACCCACATGGCAGCTAACAACTGTCCGTAACTCCAGT